GTTCTCATCAGGATGCAGGAGCAGCCCTGCTCTGAATCACCACTGTCTTCCCTGCCACCACGAAGTGATGTTTAGTACTCAGGGGCATAGGCAGGTGGAGATTAAATTCTTAAAAGGTACCAAGTCACATCATCTACATATCAATATACTTTTTAAGATAAACATTCAAGTGCCTTTTCTAACATTTTAAAGTGAACAGTGAAACAGGGATCTGACTGTAGTGACCTCACAGGTGCCTCAGAAGCCATCCAATCCTTTGGCATTTTAATTCCAATATTGAACCAGTTGTGCACCAGATAATGCATTTAACAAATTGCAATTTACCTAGCAGAGAACACTTTTATGCAACTATACAATCTATTTTTTTATGTTAGGCGTGTGAAGCAGACAAAAATACCCATGACTGAATTTTTTCAAGGCAGTGTCATGTGTCAGTGGCCTCTCCAGTGCCATCAGCCCTGTCACATGCCACGAAGCTGTGCAGTTACAGGAACTGCAGAGCAGCTCCTCACCCAGGCAGCATAAACTGGGAATCAATTTCTGTGCAGCTCCTATGGGAGCTTTTTGTAGAAGTCACTCTTATAAAATTGTAATAAACATTTAATGGACTTTCTTAAATCGTTCTGGTAAAGAAAAGAAAAAAGTGTAGCTGCAGTAGGCAATTAGCCCCATGAGATGAGATACAGAGTTAAAACAAAAAAAAAGCTGGGTAAGAATTATTAATTCACCTTGACTCTGGATGAATTAAGAGGGTCTCAAAAAGAAATACACCCCTTTACTCAGAGATGAGTACAATCTACTACAAGCCACACAACAAAACCTATCTGTACATATCTCCATAGTTTCAATTACATTTGAAATCATTCATGAAGGATTAGACATAACTGCATGAAAATACTGTCATTCATGTTTTATCACTAAACTCTCTTCAAAAACAGTCCTTTGTAAAAACTCTTCAGCTGTAACAACCACATTGCTATATTATCATGCTTTGAGTTACAGTAATAAACAGTAACACACACACACAGATTAGTAAGTGGAGCCAAAAATTAAGACCCTGCAGTAAATTAAACAGTGAAAAAGTACATGTCCCAGACTCCAAGAGCTAAAACACACTCTTGTGTTTGAATTAGCTCAGCAAGCATGAAAATAAAAGGGAAAACAGAGTTCTGTACAGGCTTGGTGGGAAGTGCCACACACAGGGATCTGTTTGCTATCCCTGGAAAGACAGGAAAGGATTTGTGCACGGGACAAAAAAAAAAAAAAAAAAAAAAAAATCGAGGTTGAATCCTGCCACAGGTAGAGATTTACATTCCAGAAGCAAGAAATAATGGGGCTCCAAGGTGCACAAACCCTGCAGAGCTCCTGCTGCAGCCCCCCAGCCGCGGGCAGCCGCGCATTCCCCCCGCTGCAATCCCGCACTCCTGCCCAACAGCAGAGCCTGGCTCCATCTCCAGCAGCTCCCAAAGCTCTGCAGGAAACCCTTCTCCTACCAAGCAGCTGACATGCCTCCTCATCTCAAGCAGCCAAAGGTAATTCTGGATGTTGACTGTGCCTCTTCAACTCACAGAAGGATGAGCAGCAGGCTGAACCCTCTCTGGGGCCAGCCCGTGATGCAGTGATGGGAGGGAAACACAGGAGGAGACACAGGACAGGGATCCTGCTTTATTCCTCCCATACTCATTGCCAGCCAAGCCCTGAGCTCCTGCCTGCTCCATCCTACACCAAAAGCGACTTCAGGTTTCAAACATGGCCCATGGTGCAATGAAGCATCTCCCTGTCGAGCATCTTCTCTTCACCAAAATGTTTGCAGGTTGCCTGGCAGGAGGAACCCTTCCCTTAAGTATTCCCCCACTGGATATAGCCATAATAGGTCCAGCTCCAAGCTTTGCACCTCCACTTTTACATGGCTGTGCAAGGATTGCAACAAAGCAATTCTGCAGCTGCTCCAAGTTGTGCTGCATCAGAAAACTGTGAAGAAGCAGAGAGGTGCTGAAGGAAATGGCCCAGATAATGCTGACCTTAATCTGATTAAATGTTATTATAACATCTGGGACAGAGGGAAGGGAAAAAAAAATAAAAGAAGCCTGCCAGTTCATGACATCATGCATTTTCATAGCAATCTCCATTTTCTTGGCAGGGAAAGAAGGGGTAACTTACTTTCATCTGGATATCAGCTTGAAAACTGGTAAAGGTTAAAGAGCAATACATAAATCTGAAAAGACCCATATATAAGGGTTAATATTCTTGCAGCTTTTTACTTCAGCCTCATTATTTTGTGACTATCTTTACTGTCTGGAGATGGGGGCACTACAAAACATACTGCTTTCATTTCTTCACTTATTTTCTTCATGCTTTTCAGGCTTCATTAAGTCTCCTTAAAGTAATTAACTGACAAGAAAGATGCACTGAGAACTAATTTACACTATTACCTATTTTACAGTGAATTTCTTCATGGCATCTTCTAGGCCAAACACTATTAAGGAAAGTGAATATTCACCTTTGAATAGTCTTCTACCTAAAAACCCACTAACAAGCTTTTACACAATTAACCAGCTACTCATAAATTATTAGGGATTCTATAATAATTAGGACTAATAAGTAGTAAACTCTCCACTAATTACTTAAAGATTAGCTTTTCCTTCTTTTTCTTCCCAAAAGTGCTGTCCTTGCAGAAGACTGACTTAAATAACAGTCAAACATAACTAAGATAACATACCTACACATGGTAGGAAAGGAAAAAAAAATAAAGCTAATGATTTAAAATAAAGCTAATGATATGACCAAACTAACTGACATATTAAGTTGATCTTGTCCGAATTAACCAGACTAGACAAGTGCTCTATCCCCATGGGATGCCTTTCAGGAATAATGGAAGGATGGATCACAAAGAATTAAAAAGTAGATTAAAATATATCTAGCCTATATCCAGACTAGATCTCACTCCTGCTTTTTCCCTTATGCATGTCTCCTGTTAGGCTATGTATTACAATACTGGACATATTCTTTGAAGCTATATCCCAGCAATTTGAAAAAGGAGATCATAGCAAGTTTTGCACCCACCTGCAGTCACACAAAATGTAAGCTGCTTTTCTGATAGCTATAAGCAACTATTCTTGAATCTGAAATTTCTCTCATTGATTTCAAGCAGTCAGTATCGCCAGCTGCTTCGCAGATCTCATCCCAAATTCCTATTAATGGAAAAACCTGTTTCCTTGAGTGACCCTATTCTTCTTATTTGACCTTTGCAACCACAGATCTGTGAGCAGAGCTGCTAATGGTCCCTATATGTCATGTCAGGGAGCGTGTCTTTGGTGCTTCCTCACAGCTGGATTGCCATTTGCTGGTTTGACCCCTGAGCAGACGCTGCAGTGCCACAGCTCCACACACAGAAATGTGTCAGCACCATTTGTTGTGTCTTCAATCACTGCAAAAAATTGCTCATGTCACGTCTAAGGGATATCTCTGGATGTTTTACAACAGTCGAGGACAGAGAGCTTGGGCACAAGATTTGTCGTGTGTTCTTTCAGCACAATCTAAGACCTCCATTTATTACAGCAAAGTAGTAATAACAATAATACAGTCATTTCAATTTTACTAAGCAGGGCTCCTTCAATGAGGTATTGACCAAAAAAACTAAATTGTTTTTTAACATCAACACCAACCTGGCTTTTCAGGAAAAAAAAAATTGAAAGTAAATCCCTGCCCTAGAAATGGCATGTAACTTCAAATCTGCCTTCAAGCTGAAGAGTGTTTTCCAAATCTGTTTCACAACAACAGCACTCTCAGCCTTTCTACCCAAGGCTGAGTTTGACTGGCACAACAAATGCGTGTCTGACAGGCTGCGCTCGGTGCAAAAGTCAGACTAGCTCCTGTCTGCTACTAGTTTTTGCTTATTCTCCTGAAAATGCAATAACGAAGCAAAACAGAGGAAAATTCACCATTAAAGACACTTAGCTTTGGACTGCTATTAACACTCACTCATCAAAACACATGGCTTCAACAACAGCATTAGTGCAAATATGGATCACACAAGTGACTTGGCAGAATATTCTTTTGCACCATCTGTTTTCAACATATTTGCTCTCCACCAAGCACCACAGAAATTTCATTGCAAGGGACTTAAAAGGAAACAGCTCTGTGGAAACAGGAGTTAGTCCATCCATTCTAGGATGGACCAGGCTCTAAACACATCAAAACCAAGCTTTTCAGCAGGGCTAATCCTGCTGCCTGGACTAGCCCCCTTGATAGCCTCCATAAATATGTTCACAGCAAAGCCAAGCTTCACAGAAAATTCTTACAGAAGAAAATTCAGCAAGTAAGTAAGGAAAGCCCAAAAGTTCTGAGAGGCCACTGCAGATGCACTCATCATCATTTAACTGTCCACGTAGATGACATTAAACTGAAATAATTAAAAATCAGCACTGACTGCTTCCTTAATAAGTTATAACACATGACAAGTAAGAACCAAAGACTTAACCCGTAAGAAATTTGCTTAGAAGCCACAAAAATTATCCCCACTTATCCCCACTGGGATACAGTAGTTTAAAACAGAAAAACAAATGAATAAAATAGTAGTGTAGGAAATAGCTTCATTAAGACAGCTTAATGCAACCACCTAAGTGTCAGCAAGCAGAAAACAAGGAAAATAATGAACTGGCTTGTTTTCATGCTGGTGGTTCCTTTCCAAACAGTTTACAGCAACATGTATTCTGAGTAACAAAGCATAAGAACCAGTGAGCACATCAGTACCAAAAAAGGCAACAGATCTGAAAATATCACGAGAAAGTACTACAAGAGCTTATCTGTCATTTCCTTGCTGAAGCCTCTCTCCTGAAACACAGAAACATCTGCAAAGAAGCACAGACATAAGCTAACTACACTCACCATTACCCCAGTTTAAACAGGTTTCTCAGAATTCCCCTTCAACTTGTACAAACAGCCACAGATTTTTGACAAAAATCTAAATTCAAAAGGCACAGAAAACTTCAGTGACTTACCTTGCAGCGTTAGATGGAGATCATCTATTTCAGAGGAAGCCTGCTCCTCTGTTGATGCAGATGACTGCTCTGATGCCATATTGAATTCTATGGTGATTCTTCAATTTCCAAACTGAAATTTTTTGTACTACAAAATAAAAAAAAAGAAGAAAATCAGTACAGTTTTACATAAGAATTGATGATCCTCAGTGATGATGTGGCACCAAGATACACTTTTGTTTGGGGTTTTCCTCCTTTGGTCAGCTGTTCCCTCAGTTTATACAAAATAAACTTTTCTAGCAGTGGCCAGCAGCACTCCACAATACAAACCAGGATCCCAGTGGGTCTTGCCATGAAAACAAAAGCGCCAGGATCAGCAAAATTCAAACACCATTGCTTTCTTTGAGAAAGCCAAGGTGACAAAAGCTCATAGTGCATTCTGCAGACTAGTAGCTGCCAAAACTCATTTTTTTAATCTTTGTACTTGAATTTTTCAGTTCTCCCTTCCTGCCTGGATAATTGTTACAGAATGGAAACAATTCAGGCAGAATCTGCAAAGATTAAGATGAAATGAAAATGCAGCGGCTACCATATGACAATTAACACAACTGATGTCAAACTCCATGAGTTTCTTCTTCCAACTCCTCCATTTTCCTCTGCCTGGATACTTCCCCTATCCCTAATGCAACTTTAGAAAACAATATGCTGTATCTTCGTTAAAAAACTACAGGTGATCCTTGTTCTGCAGTATTGTTCAATTTGCCGCTGTAGGAAGAAGTTGACGCTTAAGATATTATTTCTACCAAGAACCCAGAAGTTAAACAAATTGAAAAAGGAATTGAGCTGAAATTTAATTAAGGGCTTATTCTTAAACAAGCTTTGTTACCTACACAGCTGTAACCTTTTCACCAGAAGCACTAGGATTTCCACACCATATATTAATAACTCATCCACCAAGAATATGTCAAAATAAAGGGCGTGAATAGATGAGTCAGGAAATACAACATTAAGGAATGCCAGAGAAATTCTTACATCCATTCCCTCGTGCACATGAATCATAAGGCAGCCTTTGTTTACTCCACTCTATACTATTTTTCCTCACTCTCTTTCTCCTTCACTGAGCAGAAAGGAAAACATGAGGAGCTCTTCAATATTTTACTTTCCTCACTCAGAACAATGTGTGTCCTTGTGCTTCATCCAAGAGCTGCTCTGATGACAGGATTATTGAATCCCTCACAAGATTTTCTATGGCATTCACCACCCCAGCACCTGAACACTTCACAGACATCAGTCAATTCACATTTACAGCACCTATGTAAGTGAGACCAGGTACCCACTTTTAGAATCACAGCACACTTTGGGCTGCAAGGGACCATCAGTCCAACCCCCCTGCCATGGGACATCACTTTACTGACGACAAGCAAAGGCCAGACAGAGAGAAAAAAGGCAACAAAAAAACTCTCTGGATTTCCAGAGAAATAGATATTAGCTGATATGACTGAAACACTGATTCCAGCTGCTGCAGTGACCATGCAGCACTTCTGCAAGTCACCAACACTTACAACTGCAACTCAAGGCACCAGAGGTGAGCAAGGGGAGTTCTAGCTGGGGCAGGTAAAGGTCAGACCTCTCTGGATAATCAAAAAACCCATACTCTACAAGAATTTGGCTTTCCTAGCAAGCAAAAATAGGAGGAAAAGGACTGATTTGATCTTTGGCTGGCACAAGAACATGGTGATATAAACTAGCCAAGCCTTGAGGTTGTGATGGAAATCATAAGGTATCTATCTAAATTAGCCAAGAAAGCCAACAAAATGCTGGGCAGCACAAACAAGGGCATCACCAGCAGAGAGAGAGAAATCACTGTCCCACTTTGCTCAGCACTTGCTAGGACACCTGGAATACTGGGGGCAGTTTGGGACCACGCTGTACAAAATATTATGTGGACAGGCTGGAGAGAGAAGGGCACAAAGATGAGTGGGAGGCCTGTGTGGGGAAATGGCTGAGAAAACTGGATTTGCTGAGCCTTAAGAAGGCTAAGGAGGAGACCTTATTACCATGTTCCAGTGTTTGAAGGGTGCCCACAGAGAGGATGGAAACCCCCTATTTACAAGGAGTCACATGGAAAACACAAGTGGTAGTGGGTACAAGTTATAGCTAGGGAGATTTTGATTAAACACAAGAGGAAAATTTTTCACAGAACAATCATTAATTGGATTAATCTCCCCAGGCAAGTGGTGGATTCCACAACATTGGCACTGTTATGATTTGACAGAGCAGGATGCTGTGCCATCCCGTCTGGACCATGCTTTTAGCACAAAATATTGGACAAGATGGTCTTTGAGGTCTCTTCCGATCTGGAATTCTATAATAAATACTGGGATTTTACAGGAACTGAGGATGGGCAATGGCTAAGCAAGAATCCAGTGCTCACAGCTATGCCCAAGGCAAGGCAATTGTTCCTGAAAAAAGATCCCTTCTTTTTTCTCTCAAGATTAAGCAATAAAAACCCAAAATCTGAAAACACAAAGTGTCAGGTGGCCCTAATATTTTTTGGGTATGACTAAGTCTTGAATTTGGTTTTTTGATCACCACCTTGAAGACGATGACAAATGGCCCAAGTGGGAAGTATGTAAACAAACTCCCAAACAGTGGAAACTTCCATATCTGTTCAACTTCAATGCAGCCACATTTGAGATGGTGACATGGGCAGAGCCAATTTACATCCAACTAACCTGCATGATGCTAGAGTCACTAGCAGCACAGTCCAGAGATGAAAGGAGCAGGATTTGGCATTAAAATTCCATTATATTAACAGGAAAGTATGCAAGAGCCTGAACAACTCTGATGGACATTTCATAAACAACACAAAGTGTATTTTTAACGTTTCTGTGACCGTTCCTCCTCTGCGCCCAACCCTTGCCAGCTACAGCAACAACACAGCACATAGTGTCTCTTTTTATGTGCTTCACTGCACTTCATGTAATGGGACCCCAATCAGTTCAGATCTCTAACCAGTGAAGTAGTTAAAGCTAATAAAACTTCTAGGATTTCAAAGCAGAAAATATATTAAGGTCTAAAGCAGGAATAAACTTTAATTGTTACTTAATTTATTAATGAATTAACTTAAATTACAGCACACGATCATAAGTAAGGAAAAGCATATGCTCTTATATTCTTTTAAAGTCAATTATGGCCTCCTTTCCAAAAGGATGAGAAATTTTAAACAGTTTTCTTTAAACACAGACATCCACTCAATGAATTCACAGTGCAGGTTATGAAGACACACAGCTAATAACAGGTAAATTTATGTTAAAGCTTTCATGTCCCTCAAACCCTCAATTCACCATCCAACACAGCACATGCATTTTGCCCTGCCCCAAGAGAAGACTCCACAGCTGCTTTGAAGGGGAGACACAAACACAGTCTTGGAGGACACACCTGCAAGGATTAGTCTTCTTTAAAAGGTACAAGGTACAGATTGTCTGAGAAGAGATTATACAGGGATAATATGTCTACTTTGTCCACCTCTCTGCCCCAAATTTCATTCAAATACAGCATTGTCCACTGTAACTATATCATCACAGCCTCCTTAGAATCTAAAACAATCAAGCTTTCAAGAGTCTAAAACCACCAACCAGCAATGGTTTTCACTGGCAGTAGGAAGGATCATCTTTCCTACCTCATATTTAACTCAGTTATTTTGTTTCATAACAACTCAATGCGCTGCAGAGCTAAACCAATCCCTTCCCCTCCAAGAAATGCTGGACTACTAGGAAACACATACCCACAGTGTCGAAAAATAAATCAAATGCTTTCAAACTACACTTTGTCACTGGGGATAAAGCAAAGGTGAAGGGAATGACCTTGTCTTTCCCTCTCCCTGGAGAATCTAACATTAATGTGGGAAAGCATTAACTGCTTTCGCCTTGGGATAGCCTGTGAGTATCACAGAGTCAAAGAGCAGTTCCAGGCACACTTGGATCTTATTTCCAGTGGATTCATTTCCCGTGGATTAATTTATGTGAATTGCACCATTGTGCAAATGCATCTTTTCTTCAACGCAGGGAAAGTCATACAAGAAAGGTGCCATTAGCAAAGTCCTCCTGGAGAAGAAAGCTTTCCATGATGTTCTCCAAAAGGGCAAATTCTTGGCCACCCGGGCTCAATCCTCAGATCAAATGGTTAAACCATCAACAAAAGCATCCCTGTGATGAGGGCACACCTAAGACTCAAACCCTTCTTCCTCTACCTCTCCAGCTATTTGCACGACAAGTACCTAAAAATATTGGTGGAAATTATATCAGCACAACTGCACCATGTCAATTCTAGTGTCATTTCTCTTCCTTTACCAAATTCAGCTGATATTAGCCAGCAGATTGCAGAAAATCCTGGGCATTAACATATACACATAGAAACACTAATAAGAGAGAAACCCAAGAGCAAGTAGCAGATTGCAAATCTCAAGGAACTAACCTGAAAATAATCATTCCCAGGCTTTGCATTCCATTATCATAAGAATAGACAACACTGATTTAAATACCTGGTCTCCAGTCCTAATGAGACCTAAGAAATGCTCTCCTTAAGCAGGGTCTTTGTAAGGACATTCTTATCTCAGAAGAAAGGGTGAAAAAAGTTTCAGATGGATTTAGAGGATTCATTAGAAAGGATTTCACAGCCTTAACATTAGTTCAGATCAGGGTGGTTTGCAAACCTTGGCTTTCAGCTGCTCCCAGTACCACAGATGGCAAGATTCCATGGCATGGAAAACCCAGCAGTTACACAGCACGCTCCTTACAGTTAAACCATCTTCAAAAAACAATGCATGTAACTACAGCCAAAACAGGAAATGGCTATTTCATCAATTAATTTAAAGCTACCTCTACAAAGCAGCTGTGCACAGTATTTAAGAAGCAAAGTAAATTAGTATTTTCCATACTGTCCCAGGTAAAAACCTTTTTACCCCCCAAGTTTACAGCTAACTTGTGCACGTCCCTGCACAGATGTACTCTCACAGCCTTCCCCAGGAGCCAGTCTTGAAAAATCATATGCCATGAAATTAGCTCAGTTTTGCACCCCTAAAAGCTGAAAGCAGCAGATACCTTTCAAACAAGCCCAGCTAGAGGTAACTGAATATTACAACCCACT